GACCCAGCCTTCCACGCCCTCTTTGAGCTCTTCGATTACAGTAACTATGGCCTACATGGCATTTACTCCCTTTTTAATTGGTGAAAAATGCATAGCAAAACCAACTTTTTTTTAATAACTTTTTGTTTGTTTGTTTTGCAGATAAAACCAGATTCGCTGCTGGTGATCAAGGGGACGGAGATATTAGCAGTAATCCAGGGGAGAGCAATTCTGCTGGACCTTCATCTGCCATCGGACTGCTTCTAAGTGATGATCCAGGTATTTTCAGAATCTCTAAAGAGGGACACAGAGATGTCATCTTTCATTTCTGTCGGCCTCAGGTCAAGGCAGGTTTCTTGATTCAACAGTTTAGAAGGGATCTTCGTGTTCATTAAAATGTCGCTGTAACTGTTAGATTTATGATTTTGGTGCAAATTCAGAAGGAAGGAAGCTTCTCAAGAATAGTCAGTATCAAAGGAGACTTCTCTTCAGGGGTGTCAAACTCAAGGCCCGGGGGCCAAATCCGGCCCGCGGCTTCATTTCATGTGGCCCGCAAGAGCTTGCAAAAAATATATTAAGTTTATTATACAGTTACATGCCGATTTACAGAACCACGCTGCCAATAAACTACATGTCCCACAATGCATCTCGTTTTGGGACATGAGCACTGAAGAGAATTGCTATTATTTGCCCCAGACTTCTGCTTTCATACGTAGTTAATTATGAAGTTATTACCCTATCCGATAATAATCCAATGCAGAGGCAATATTGTAATTGTAATACATTACATACATTATTTTATATATATTATATATTGATATAGTCTTAAAGTTACAACCGACCCTTAGAGTGCAACCATAATGCTAATGTGGCGCGTGATGAAATTGAGTTTGACACCCCTGCACAAGACGAAGCCTTTAAGCGTTTCACTAATATACTAAAAAGAAATGTAAAAATATCTAACTTATTATATTTATCAGTATTATTACTATTTATCATTAGTAAATTGCTAAAATCTTAGGAATGTTGTTGTGATGACAAAATAAGCAGATACTCTCACAATCTGCATTTAAATTTGTTTAGGCTGAAGACAAAAACAATGTATTCTATAAAAAAGCAGGCGCTGTGCTTTATCCATCACTTCGTAGTCCTGGAACTGTGTCCCGTGTAAATAGCTCAGCAGAAAAAACATGCATCACGCAACCTACATTAACAATCATGTATTGAATGACGGACGGTAGGTAAGGCGACGTGTATTTGTATTAGAGAATGTCTGCGTAAATGTGGTGTGTGTGTGAAAGGCAGTGAGGTAGAGTTCAGTGTTTTGTTCCCTGCAGGCTGTTCTGCTTTCCCCAGATCCCGGTGTGTTGTCAGCCCAGGGGCATTGTGTCTAGTTTGGCCTAGCACTCAGTGTTCCCTTCACTTTGCTACTGTTTCACAAAAACCCACTCTTTATCAATGTTTCACATACTCTATGTCCTTTTTATTTAATCCATAATTTGCCCTCGGCATGATTTGCAACAAGTCTGACTTTAACTGTTGGCTGAAAGGCAGTCAGGTCACAGCTTTGACTGCATGTATAGAAGGGAGTGCTTAACAATTAACCCCTATAATGTTGGGTCATGGATTGACAAATTGACAAACACATGGGCCAACAGGTAAGCATTCCTCCGTCTATGTGGTGTGTGAGAGAATGTTCAGGGTGTACTATGCAGATGGCCCTGTGTCTCTAGCTTCTGTTTCCCCTAGAGTGACTGCATTGAAACAGACAAATAATAAACATAATAGTGGGTGTGAGTCAGGAGAGCATCAATCATACAAAGTGCTGAGGCCTAAAGCACAAAACTAGAAAACTCCAGCACAAGAACTCCTAAGGGATACACACACATACACACATAGAAACAATGCCTGCATGGAGACAGCTGAGCACACTCACAGCCAAACAAGTGCTGGAGAATCTGCTTTGTTAAGTTGCAACAGTTCAAGTTCACTACAATATGTCCTCGCTGTCAACAGACAACTTAGGTGACAGTGTTTGGTAAAGCATGGGCTTCAAAACATGTGACAATTGTGGGCAGTAAAGTTGGGCAAATCCATTTTGACAGGAAAGTTTGTATAGCTAAGATAAATGATGACCAACTGTGACCCACCAAGGTCAATGATGGTAGTAATAAGCTACTTTGTTGAATAAGGAATTAATACAGAGATGAATGTTGATGTCAAACATGGTGTTTAGAGGTAACACTATTGGTCTTTTTTTAAGCTGACTATACAAGTCCATATTAAATATTAAAGCTTATTGAGAGAAACTTATTTAAAAAGGGGTAAATTGAAGATTCAACTTATTGTCATTACGTAGTACAGAAACGGTTTCTCTGCATTTGACCCATCCTAGTGTTAGGAGCCGTGGGCTGCCATTATGAACGGCGCCCGGGAAGCAGTGCCTTGCTCAGGGACACCTTGGTAGCACTTGGTCTTTCCGGGACTTGAACTGGTGACCTTCCAGTTACCAAGCCAAGTCCCTTTGGACTTCGCCACCACCGCCCTGTACTACGGCCATGGCAAAATGTTCATGTAACTTTTTAATAAGAGTGGGTGTGTTTCGGGCAACTGTAAAATCGCTGCAGCATCAAGGGTGAACAAAGTTTGTTTTACTAAGCACAAAACATCCACCTGTTGCAGACAAAAAAACGAAATGCATTTTGGAAAATGAAATATTGAGGTTGTTGCTCAATGTCCTTTATATGTCTGGGATGTTTTCATAATAACCAAAAGGCCAATTCAGTTGAACAAACTCCAACAGTTTGTTAGTAAGTCTGACCCTTGTTTGTTCAAATGACTTGTGGCCTGGTGCAGGCTCACATGCTTACACAAACACACATGCACAACAATGTTTAGTCTCCTCCAGATATGCAAGTGTGTATCCAAAAGTGTGAGGTAAACAAGTTTAATCACCCTGTTCCACCTCGGTTCCACTGACAGTTCACGTTAGCATACTGGGAAGAGATGAGAACGGTGGAGCAGCAGGGCTTTCACCCTAACTCAGGCTATTAGTAGAAAACACCGCAAAGAAGGCGGAAATGTAAAAAAGGACTATAAATAGTAAGGTGGTGATGTCACAGAGCACTAATCGGATACACATATATATATTTGTGGAGGAGAACTTAACAGGCCTTTAAATTATGCATTTATCAAACAAGGCTTAATATGAACAGACAAGGAGCTTGGCAATCTGGCAGCCATCTGGAAGACAGGCCTGTCAGTCACAGAGAGGTGAGAAAGAGGGTCGGCTGAACTCCGGGTTAACCCCAGAGAGAGGAAGAACGAAAGGGCAAGGGAAACAGAGAGCAAGACAGACTCAACAAAGGAGAAGACGATGCAAAGTTGAAGTTGAGAAAGACAGCGAGAGAAGTTGGGTGTAAAGGTTACATTGACGGATATGAAGACCACAGAAGTTGATTTGGACATTGCTAAAGATGGGCGGGGGGGTCAAGTATCATTCACGCCAAAACAAGGTCAGTGAGAGAGGCGTGTTTTTGACAGCTCTGGTGAAAAGCATTGTCAGGGTCATCATCTCTCAGTTTAACAAATAGCCATATGTACACACACACACAAAGCTGTTAGTGTCTCACAACGACACACATACACACAGCTAACCACACACACGGTTGAAGAGCTACTTCCAGACTTTCACCAAAAAAAAAGCATCCCTTCTTTCTGGCTCACACAAAGTACAGTCCACATTCCAGAAGCATCCAACACACACTTACTTCACTTCTTACTAAAGTTGTGGTGTGTCTGACTGCAGCCAGCACCTCATGAACCCTGTTGACATGCTGCGCTGTTGTTGTTAATATCGTTGTCGGTTTCAGTCGTGTGTTACAAATATGCTGCGCGTGCTGAGCAAAAGCATACAATCAGAAAGCTCTCCAAATGGCGCACAGTTACACAACCAGGCTGATCGGTTGCCATTGGCAGCGTCTTTATTCCACAGATGGGACACGGTAACGAGGCGAAGAAGAAGACAACTGACAAGACTGTGATACAAGCAAGGAACGATACTTCTTCCAGCTCACGCTGCACTTTGATTCGCTCCCTCCAGTGGTTAGAGCGATTTAGATTTTAACCGCCTTTCGTGTGCTTAGACTCTTTTTCTCCTTTAAAATCAAAGTCTGATTTTACATTGTTCCGCACCTAAGTTATGTATGACAAACGCCTGGGGCCAAATCACCATCAAAGCAGCACGTCGCAGGAACACGGAGCTTCTGAGATTCCTAGTGATGGCAGATGTCACTTTTGAAGTGAGCGCGGGGATGAAAGTGGCGGGATGTGACGGGCGGCATGAGGACAGCCTCTCCGCCGCGACCTGCCATCATCAGTGCTGCTGAGGTTTAATGGGGAGAGACTGGAGGGGCCTGGGAGCTCCAACGGCCGTCTGGGGGTGTCTGTGTCGGTGCCCAGTAGGGGCCGAGGCTAAACTGTTGTAGGCACCTAACCTGAAAGCAGCCAGCACCCAACCTGGCAGCCTCTCAGCCAGCCTCCACCCTGCCTCTGCCACCCGATTGGGATGGAAATGTCTCCCTCCGTTACACCGGCTGCTCTGCCAGTGGATTCGTCAGGGTATAGAGAGAATAACTAATCTAAGGGAACCAGCGGCCTGGAATCAAAGGGACACTGGCTTCTCTCTTCCTTGTGTGTAGCAGCGCTCACCTGGGTACTATCCCCGGTGTGACAGAGCGAGCAGCAAGAGGACTTGGTAAACAAGGCAGAGCCATGCAACTTTCAAACAGAGAGGCAGCAAGTGCAGGGAAACCAAAACAAACTCTTAACTCGGGAAATTCACACAACGTTTTCCCCCTGCCTTCCCCACTGTTCCCTGTGTCTTTATTGCGGCTTGATATGTCACCACTGTCTTTATCTCCTACTTACTCAGGACTTCAAGTGGCTGTCTCTATTTTGCTGGGCCATAAATTATTCAGTGCCATGTGTCTTCTTAGTATCTGCGCTTTCCATTGGGATGCTATCGTATCCCCTGTTCTGCGAGAGGGGCTTGCTGCTTTGAGACAGAGTTTGCAAAAGGTAACACAGGAACTTCAGCACCGACAACCACTTTCTTAGTAGGAGCTCTTGTCAAGTACATATATTTGTTCCGGCACAGAGAAATATGAAAAAGAAAAACAAGGGGGAAAAAAAGTTGTATCTGAATACAACATGGAAACCAACAAGCTCCACTGCTGCTACTACAACAACTTGGACTAGTATCGGAGCTTAAAATAATGACAGTATTCCATATAGAGGAGTGTGTTTTGTTTCCCCCCAGCGCGCGCATGTATGTGTGTGTGTCTGTATGTGTGTCGCCCATGGACCCCACTGTATGTAAATAGCCATATGAGACTGCATAGCATTACTGTCCAGACATTGAAGAGGTGACCTGATCCCAATTAATCACACAATCCCAGGGAGAACTGTCACATCCCATCTCCATCAGCAGAAGCATCCTGTTCTGTCTCCCTCTCTTGTCATCTCCTGTTTCCTCCATCTCCATTCCTCTCTCGCTCACACACACAGGCAACAGACGCCGCATGCACTCACCACCAAGCCCATCATCCTCTCACCGATCTTCCCCCTCCCTTGTTTTATTTAAAAAACAGAGGGTCTAACGTTGACAGGTCAGCTGGCACGGGCCAGTCGGTCCCCACCTGTCCCCTAGCTTCTTCCCCCCCCCAGAAGGCAAAGTGCCAGAAGAGCAGGAGAAGAGGCACTTCTATCTTTACAGCTGCCAAAACAGGAAGCCGCCCCAAGGCTTTCTATCCCCAAAAGAGACTGAAGGTTTGCTTTGCACTGGTACCCGTGAAGGAGCTTCAATCTTATCACATTTGTCAACAAGAGTGCATTGGGGTTGAAGATGGTGACAAAAAGATTCGGGCTGTTTTATTAAAATGTGACACGATAACACATGTTTGTAATGCCAATGTGTTGTAAACATCAATAGGTAGATTGAACCTTCTTTTAAATACAGTATGCATATCTTTACTGACTGACATGACTGTGGATGTAGGGCCTTTGAAGCTCAGAGGGATGACTGTGTCGGAGGTGTCACATGAATCCACACAAACGAGCCTGAGCTATAGCTTTGCAAAGAGAAATCAGTGTTACAAGAATTTTATATTTGTGCTGTCACTTGATATTCTTTCTGGGAGGGACTTCAGGAGTTGAACCGCAACATGTCAAAGTATGTATGAAAAACATACCAAGGAAAAAAAAAAATGTTCTGAAGGAGAGGGGACAAAAAAACGAACATCTACCTGACGTATTTCGACTCCTTTGTGACCTGCAACTGAAAGCATTGGTCTAATGAGGGTTGTCTGTTGAATCCATCAGCAACACCAAAATGAAACATATCCCTTTTTTCTCTGCTTCTCTTTAAGACACGGATACAAGTGGAGATCAAAACACCGGGTATGTCTATAAAGTGGCATACTGGATACCGTAGTCATGTCTCACCTTTGTCTTGATTCATCCTGATATAACCATTTTGAGTATTCCCTTTGAAAAACGGAGGACTGGCATCTTGAGAAATCACAGTAGAAGTCAGGAGACTATGTATCACATGTCGTTAAAGTTCTATTGTTTCACCCATCTGTTCGCACACTTTCTCATGTCAGCGTGTTCAAGCTGTTCCCTTTTGTGCTGTTTCAGCTACAGGACTGTGACACGACATCATCTGCAAAACGACAGGGATTTTTGTCCTCATTCAAACAATTTGAGACAGAAAGATCCTTTTTAAAAGTTGGGTTGAGAAATAACTTTTTGGCAGCAAAGTTGAAATCAAATGAAATGTGTTATGAAACTGCGTGTGGAAATGTACTTGCCTATGATTCAAAGAGGTTTTATGAATATCTTAGTTTCTCACACTATTCCTCTCTGTCTGTACAGCCCCTTCTGCAGGCTCCATAGCTACTCATTAGTGGTTGAGTCTGTGAACGATGATTGTAATTGCATTTGCTGTAAAAAGAAGCCCAGGGAGAGAGAGCTGGGGAGTACTGGGCCAAGGGGCCATTGTTGTGGCCCGCAGAGGAACCTGTTTAGAGTAAAGACCACATCTTGGGAATCATCCTTAGAGGAGAGAGGAGGAGGAGAACGGTGGGTCTTCATCTCAACATGGCATATCAAATGGGAACTGGGAAATAATGGAACACTGGGATAAGTATTTACGTTGGTAATGAGGCCCCTTGTGGCTTTCTCCTTCTTAAATCGTGTTAATCAGCAGGTGAGTGAGGGCTGTTTCAGTGGGAACCCACAAAGGACGGTGAAGGTGTGTGCAACAATCAGATCTCTAACAGCACCATTAACAGCAGCCACAGCTATGGAGACATATCCCAATATGAGAGAGAGAGAGAGCAATCTTCACGTCCCCTCAGAATCAAATACATTTAATCTTTTCCAAGAAATACCTAGGCTTAATATTCCTAGTTAAATACTTCTTTAATACACATTATTTTTTATTGTTGTTAAGATACTTTTGAATGGACTGGACTTACTTATTATCAAATTGACAACATCAACATTGTCAGAAGCTTAAGGTACTGGAGCTAGAGAAAAGAAGACAGTGAGAGAAAGACCAATTTAAAACATTGGTCTTACATATATATAAATAAAAAGTATCATTCAAAATAAATGTTAACTTAAAGGTAGGGTAGGTAAGAATGGAGAAACCAGCTCGAGTGCGCTAGAATTTGAAAGTACTCTGCCCCTTCCTTCAGACTTCCTTACAGAGCCCCTCCTCCAACACACACGAACGCGCACATGACCAATGAGGGCACGAGATAAGTTTGTGCACAGATTGAAGGCTGACAGGCAGGTAGGCCATCCAGTTACTTTAGCCGGGCCGGCTCAGATGATTGGTCGTGCTTTTTACAGTGCCACGGCTTCCACAGATGAAATATTTGTATATATTTATTGTCAAAGCATTTAATATATTCATTGCTATCGGGATGTTAAGAGCATTCCATGGAATATAACAAAAAGTGTTTCTGAAGTGAATTACCTATCCCCACCTTTAAGATAAATATTAAAAGAAAAATGAACACATAAGATCATTTATAACCTGATTTTGAAATGGGAGTAATATTGTATAGAGAAAACATTTATGTTATTATGGAAAGTTAAATACACTGCAGTATGAGGATTATGCAGATAACATTTGACTAAGGACCTAAACAATCGTCTGTTGGTCCATTCCACACTCTGAACCCACGTAAGATATATCAACAACTACAAAAGCACAAAAATAGCCATCATGAAAATAGCAGAGTGTGATTCATGGTCATGAATTGATGACTCTGGACTTTCATGATATCAAAAAAGGGGAAAACAAAATAATATCTTTACAAAAAGGAGTTTCCCACAGCTTAAGTGTCTTCTACTGATCAGTTTCAACCGTTCTGGCCTACAGGTCCTTCTATATTGTGTGAACCCTGCAAGGTCCAGCTGCCTTGACATATACTGCTGGTTAATTATGAGCTACAAAGCTCACTGACCTTGTCAAGATCTCTCTACCCTCTCAAAGCAATCCCAGTGTATGGGAGGAGGGGGTACATTCTGTGGCTGTCTGGTTACCCCCAACACACACACACACACACACACACACACGGCTGTTTACCTGCCAGGTTAAAAGGCTGAAGTCAGTGACAGAAGGAGATTTAACAAGGAAGCAAGGGGAGGTGGAATGGATGAATATGCAGGAAGAGAAGACTGTGTGGGAGAGGGGCAGAGAGGAAGGAGGGTGGAAAGAGAATGACAGTACAAAGCAGAGGGAGG